ATGCATTCAACAGACTTATATGACAGTGCATTGCTGTAGAGGACAAATAAAACACGAGACAGGTGTTTAGAAAGAGTATAGTTTATTTAGTTTGACATGCAAACTTATCTAAACAAGACACACTTTCAGAAAACAGCCCGGAAACATTATAATGCGCGCGCTCGTGAATATAACCCGCGGTTGTCTTCAACTGTTGTCTTCAATAGTCCTTCTTTGCTCAACAACTGAGCTGAAAAACAAAGCAAAACATTACAACAGTCAGACATGGAGCAAAGAGCATAGAATTACCAAGAGGCGACACTCTACAATTTGGGAAACAATAACGCGCTTTTTGAATAATATAAATAAATAAAAAGCAGCTGCTTTCCATCGCGACAGCAATGACGAGCGATCGCTATCACTTGAAACTGGCGGAATCCGGGTCTGTTGCTCTTGGTCATTCTAAGCTCTTTGCTAAAGGTTTAATCATAACAGTTACCGTGGTTTCTATTTCAAACTATAGTAAACTAAAGTTTGAAACTATAGTTTAAAATAGAAGATGAGTGGGCCTCGCTACTCCCACCCACCATAACCCTCGCAGCGAGGTCCCACTACCGGCCGCCCGTGTTTCCCCGAGGGTCCTCGGGGGTTATGTTCTCCCTGCCTAGGGCTGAAAGGCCGCCTCGCTGACAGAGCACACGAGCTTTATAGGAATGCATATGCAAATTTTTACAAGGCACGTCACTGTTGTCTCGCTGTCATGGCGAGCGCTGAGGAGGGCTCACCTGATTGGACCACAGAGACTCAGGAATCTGCGTCAGGGCGAGTTGCCGTCTGCTGTGGACAAAAATATATTAAATATATTTAATATATATATTTTTACGTTTTTGGTGCTGTGTAATATTCTGAGACACTTTATACGGTTCCTTTTACAGCATCCATGGTGTAAATTAAGCGTTTCCGGCGAATTGAATGCCAATGCAAAATCCGGTGCGTTTAAGGTCTGTTTTCTTTCAAAATCAGCGATCTCCACAAGCTGAGTGATATCCGATTTAAAGTGGGTCTCAGATTGTACAAGAAGCACTGCATTAAATTACATTTCCCCCGCCATATCCTTATAATATGAGCAATATATTTTACCCCAGTATATTCAATGGAGCTTCTGCGTTAGCCTGCCGATTCTGACGGGCGCGTGCGAGTAAACAGCTTTTTGTCTCGTTTTACGCTTAAGCAACTAAATAAATGCAAAAGTTTATTTAACTGAAGGTATGTTAATGACATTACAACATCGATGCTGTATAAGGAACCGTATAAAATGGGAAAAAAAAGTTCACAATAACAGGTCACCGGAAGTGTATCAGCATGGAAACAGCACTAGCTCGGCATATACCCTATTTAAATAGGAACTTATATACATCTAATATATCTAGAAAACTACAGGAGTATTACATACTAAGCAACAGAATCCTGTGGTGCCACAGAAATGTTTAAGTGATACCACACACTACCACAAGAATACCGCAGGAGTATTACATACTGTACAACACAGAATCCTGTGGTAAAACATCCCAAAAAAAACAACAACAAAGTACTACACAATCATCACATGGTTTTTGTTTTGTACATTTGATGGTTTACCACATGAAATACCACATGCTACCACAAAAATATTACAGGAATATAACAGTAATACCACACGCTCTACCACAAGAATATCCCAGGAATATTACATATTGTATAACAGAATCCTGTGGTAAATACTACCACAATATGAAAGTGATACACTACCACAAGAATACTACAGGAGTATCACATACTGTACAGCACAGAATCATGTGGTAAAACGTCCCAAAAAACAACAAAGTACTACACAGTTACCACATAACATTTGATGGTTTACCACATAGAATACCGCAGGTAATGTTTGTAATGGAGGGTGTCGGTCATCTTGTTGTTTCAATTGCAAATTTATTCCAGTACACAAACATTTGCACACTGAAAAGTTTTTACAATAAATATGAATACATGTGATGTTACTTTGTAAGAATAGGTATTTCTTAATTAAACGACTTAAATGCAGAACATACTGATTTTACCTTGCACTGAGAAAAAAAAAAAATGTTTTAGAAAAAAACAGAACAAAAAAGCTAATTCTTGTGATATTGTTCTGCAGAAATTGCTGTAGCAATCCTGTGATATTTAGCTGTGTTGGTATTACCACACAAAAACAACAGAGAAACCACATACTTCATCCAATGGTAAATTCCTGTGAAATTTCACTGCAGAAAGTGCTGTAGTAATCCTGTCATATTTAGCTTTGCTCATTTTTTTGTGTGGTAAATTTATGTTGTACTGCTGAAATACCACAGGATTACCACAGGACATTTTTGTAAATCCGGTCGCACACCAGAAGCGAACTTAAGTCCAACTTTTGTGCTACAGAAAAGCCCAACAGTTTGTAACGACATAAGGGCATGTGCTAGCTAGACAATATTTTAAATGTCATCCTCTAGTATTAATTATCATAAAAATTCACATTTTCAAAAGAACTCCTCGTATTATAGTAAAACAGATAGTGAAGGGTTAACTAGTGAGTCTTTTCGTCATTTTATTTGATTTCTTTTTTATTACTACAGGTTTGGAACAACATGAGGATCAGATTATTTATTATTATTATTATTATTAATTTATTTTTTTTGCTTTGGATGAAGTTTTCATATTTTTATTGTTTTTATTCAATGATATGTGCATGATTGTGATAAATGTAGGCAGTTCCTTTGAAAATATGCTATGTACCAGGGATGTCAAACTCCTGGAGGGCCGCAGCCCAGCAGAATTTAGTTCCAGCCCTGCTTCAACACACTACCTTTAGATTTAGTTTGATCAGGTGTGTTTAATTAGTATAACTGCAGTGTTACCCTGTAGATTGTGCAGTAAATAACTGTAAAATAGCCAGTGTTTTGCTGTAATAAAAGGAAACAGTATTTTACTGTAAAAGGAGTAGACTTTGTATGAAATTGTGTAGTGCAAAGAATAAATTACAGTAATTTATTTTATGTACTCATTACAACTTTGACAATAAATAGCAAATTACTGTTCAACCATTACCGTCCCATCCACTCTGATGCTTTATGTTGCTAATTATAGAGACGTGCATTTTGAGGGCTGAAAACAATGATTTGGGCATCACCACACACTCCCACAGGCTGTCTGTCTTAAAAAGTTTTCAGAAAATGCTGGCCCTTTAAGGGAGTCAGGTGTTTGATTTGTTTACTGCTGAGTGTGCTTCATTCTCTGTCCATCAATTCAGATGTAGAGTCTGATATGTTTTAGGCTTTAAATAAGAATCTACAATGAGTAAGTAAAATGTGTTCAAATGTTTTTGAGGGTTTCTAAAATAAGGCTGTGTTTTAAGTTATATTGTTGTTATCTTGAACTGTGTACTTGAAAGCTACATTGTTAGCTAGTTAGCCCCTCCTCGTATAACTTCTTACATTTATTGTATATTGCATACTGCCATAATGTACAGATGTTAACAGTTTTATGTATCTTTCTGGCAACTAAGCCAAAATTAAATTCCATCGCCTCAGTAAGGTAACATGTGCACAGAAATCATCACAGGGAATCACAAAAACATATGATACACTTAACCATCCACACACAAAAGCTCCACTGTCAGCTCCCAGGTTGTGAGTTTGTTGCTAAGTATTTTTCAGAGCTGTGTTTCCACCTATGAATTTATATTAGAAACAATAGAAAAGTTTGTTGTCATGAGATTTTTTAAGTAAATAATAATTATAACAATAAAATATTGGATTCTTTGGTTTTTCGGTGTTGCCGACTTTATTTTTGTTTATATAATTATTTGTAACTTTTTATTGAGAATTGAGTTTTTAATTATTTTAAACTTTAACATTTAAAATAATTAGTTTTTTTTTTTTTTTTGCATGGTCAGCATTGAGGAGAGAGTAACACATTTCACCGCAGCACTTTGTGTGTGTGTGTGTGCATGTGTGTATAATACCTATACCTGCTGCAGTCAACCTTAAACCTACAGTAGGTTGACATAAAACCAAAACAACACCCATTCTTGTCTTAGGACATTTTATTTGGCAAATTTTAAAATAACAGTAAGTATATGTGACATGTTAAATATATAGTATAATTTGCTGGTTTTAAACATACAGAATAATAATAAATATAGTTATGAAACAACCATAACACCAAATGTTGACTAATGAAAGTACATTTATAACAACTATTTATTTGTTAGACTTCTGTATTGTCAAACCATGTTGCATACAAATGCATTCAACAGACTTATATGACAGTGCATTGCTGTAGAGGACAAATAAAACACGAGACAGGTGTTTAGAAAGAGTATAGTTTATTTAGTTTGACATGCAAACTTATCTAAACAAGACACACTTTCAGAAAACAGCCCGGAAACATTATAATGCGCGCGCTCGTGAATATAACCCGCGGTTGTCTTCAACTGTTGTCTTCAATAGTCCTTCTTTGCTCAACAACTGAGCTGAAAAACAAAGCAAAACATTACAACAGTCAGACATGGAGCAAAGAGCATAGAATTACCAAGAGGCGACACTCTACAATTTGGGAAACAATAACGCGCTTTTTGAATAATATAAATAAATAAAAAGCAGCTGCTTTCCATCGCGACAGCAATGACGAGCGATCGCTATCACTTGAAACTGGCGGAATCCGGGTCTGTTGCTCTTGGTCATTCTAAGCTCTTTGCTAAAGGTTTAATCATAACAGTTACCGTGGTTTCTATTTCAAACTATAGTAAACTAAAGTTTGAAACTATAGTTTAAAATAGAAGATGAGTGGGCCTCGCTACTCCCACCCACCATAACCCTCGCAGCGAGGTCCCACTACCGGCCGCCCGTGTGAAAAAATGGTTGGCTTTTAGTAGCTCTGCACCATAGACTTTTTAATTGCCAGTTCTGATTGCTGACCCACCAGAGACTATCCGATTAGAGATGAGGCGAAGATGAACGTTTGTGTGAACAACCCATTTATTGTCACCACTCAACAGACTTGACTTATGACACTTGTGTTGTGGTTTTTCTAAAATAAAAACAATAAAAAGGAATATGAATATAAATAATGATAATCAAACAAATTACAATAGTAAATTATAGTCAACAACACAGCACAAAACATTAAGCTTGATAATAAAGTAATGTGCAAATGATTGTGGGCAAAATGTGACAAGCTGTGACAAGCTGCTACTTCAATATACCCTAGCATGCATTGATGTAACCTGAAACCTTGTTAACAGAGCGCAGATTGTACAGCGCCTCACTCACAAAGGCTATAATGGCGCATGCGCCTCGCAGTTTGTTTAAAACAAAGGATTTGGTTACACTTCAACACTTCAAATAGGAAGATAACACTGGCTAATGAACATAAGTGGAACTCTAATACACACAATATGTAAATATAGATATATAAAAGTGTTACAATATGAATTACGGGGTTATTGACACACCTAATATGTATTAACGCACACACATATACATCGCGGCATCGCGACGTCACGGCCATAATAACTACTCACAGAACAGAACAACTTTCGTCATTTACAGGATTGTAAACTTACTTCTGCATTCACGCACAACACTTGTGGCAACCGCTGACAAACAATGATGAAAACAGTCCGTGATCTATTCCTCGCAAACTTTAGCATCCGTCTATGTGTCTCGCTACACTAGAAACTAAAAATCTGTTTGGGTGGGGAAGATTGCGTAGTCACAGATCCTGGACGCTGATTGGCTCAGGTAACGTGTTCTGGTGTATGCGGGGTGCCTCATCATAAAGGACAAAAGACAGAGGTTAGAATTGCACTTATAAGCTGCAGCCTTTTTTACAGCCGCCCCCATATTTATGTAAGAAATATGTACACACACAAAAAAGGCTTTATACTGTTGTGGGATTTAAGCTTAATTTAATCTGGAATAGCAGGTAGTTGTATGAGGCGGGCTACTGGTCGTGTGTAAGTCTTTTTTCCCACCTGAACTTTGGCTGTCCTCACTCTAGTATCGGCTCCAGGGTGTACGTCTACCACTTTTCCTACAGGCCAGAGTGATCTTGGTAGTTGTGGGTCAACTATCAGCACTGTAGAGCCAACTTGAGTGTCTGGAGTATCATTTTGCCATTTCTGGCGGCTTTGAAGACCAGGGAGGTAGAATTTGATGTAGTGTCTCCAGAATTGGTCCGCAAGGATCTGACTATGGCGCCATCGACGTCTACTGACCAGTTCTGACTGGGGGTACACTGTCAGGGGGAGTGAGGCATCCAGCCGCCCCATTAAGAGACAATTTGGAGTAATGGGATTAGAGTCGGAAGCATCAGATGAGGTATATCCCAATGGTTTGGAGTTCAGAATTCCTTCAATTTCTGCCAGCACTGTTTGAAGAACTTCAAAGGTCACTGACTGATTTCCAAGCGTGACCATCAAGGCATTCTTCAAAGAGCGAATTTCTCGCTCCCAACAACCTCCAAAGTGGGGTGAATTAGGAGGGTTGAAATGAAATTCAATTTGCTGTTTGGCGAGTTGACTCTGCAGATCAGGGGCAAGAGCTGTGAAAGCTTCCTTCAGCTCTCTCTCACCACCTCTAAAGTTGGTTCCCTGATCAGATAAGAGCTCCTGTGGCTTTCCTCGTCGAGCTGTGAATCGCCTGAGAGCCATAAGGAAGGAATCGGTTTCCAGACTGTGAAGTATATCAATGTACACTGCTCTAGTGGTAAGACATTTGAATATTATTCCCCATTTCTTTTCATTGCGTCGCCCCGTTTTGACAGTATAAGGCCCAAAACAGTCCATGCCAGTAGAGTGGAAGGCCGGCTTAAAGAGCCGCAATCTTGCTGGAGGAAGGTCGGCCATTCTAGGTACTTCTGGTTTCTTCCTCCATTTTTGGCAATGTAAACATTCTCGTTGTAAGTGCTTGATGGCCTCTCTACCACGCAGGATCCAGTATTTCCGGCGGATTTCGGCAAACAATCTCTCTGGACCTGGATGACGAAGTTTTGAATCGTAACTTTGAATTATAAGCTTGGTTGTCGGGTGTCTTGGATCCAAGATGATGGGGTGCATATTATCAGGTCCCAGATATGGACTATGTCGTAGACGTCCGCCAACTCTGATTAAATTAGTTTCGATATCAAGTTCAGGCGTCAGGGCTCTTAGCTTGCTATTGCTGGAAAGTGATTTACCAGCCTTTAACTGGGTCAGGTCTGATGGGAAGGATTCTTGTTGGGATTTTTGCAGGACATCAATCTCAGCACGCCTATAGTCACTGGCTGTGGGGTTACCATTGGCCGCCCCTTGAAGAGCTGTGAAATCAATTAGTTCCTCCAGGGTCTTAAACTGGCTGTAATCTGATGATGCGAAGCAGACCTGTACATGTGTACCAGTTTTGCGTAGTTCGTCTCTGTCTATTTCCTTAGGACTAGGACATTCGGGCCACTGATTAGCCGGATCTTTTAGGAAATGTGGTCCTTGGTACCAGCAACTTTCCAAGTTGAGCTCGCAGAGACTCTTTCCCCGAGTGATGTCGTCAGCTGGATTGCTGGTGGAGGGTACATATCGCCAGGAGTGTTGCTCAGTTAGCTCCTGGATCTCTGCAACCCGAGTACCAACAAATACTTTGAATCGACATGATTCAGACTGTAACCATGCCAGTACTGTTGTGGAGTCGGTCCACAAGATTGTGTGGCGAATGGGCAGGTTCAGTTCAGTTAAGAGTACTTTGGAGAGTTGAGCTCCAGTCAGTGCAGCGCACAACTCCAGTCTGGGGATAGATTGTTGTTTTTTTGGTGCTACACGAGATCTGGCGGTTAGGAATGCCACCTCCACTTGTCCATACTGGTCCTCTGTTCGAAGGTATGCCACCGAGCCATAAGCACGTTCAGAGGCATCACAGAAAACATGCATATCTCTTAGGCTCGTTTCTGTGTCTTTGTTGGCACTACAGTAACATCGAGGAATGACAATGTTTTGTAGAGCTGGTAACTCTGCCTCCCACTCAGTCCATGTTTGTAGCAGATCTGTAGGCAAATGTGGATCGTCCCAATCCCGTTTTTTATCCCACAGTTGTTGTACAAGAATCTTGGCACGAGTGGTGTAAGGAATGAGGTAGCCCAATGGGTCATACTGACTGGCCAGTATTCTATATATATTACGCATTGTAGTCTCTCTACTATCTTTGGCACGATATTTGTAGGAGAGTGTGTCAGACTGATGATTCCAGAGGAGCCCTAATGTTGATTCCTGAATGTCCGATTTGCCTTGCGATATCCAGAGTTCAGCACTGCTTGATATAGATTCAGGGGGCAGGTGGTTTATGGTGGAAGGAATATTGCTGGACCACTGTCTTAGCTCGAAACCTCCATCTGCCAGTTGATTCTTAATTCTGTCCACGAATTTCTTTGCTGCTTCAGCTGAAGTGAAACTTTGTAGGCAGTTGTCTACATAAAAGGATTTCAGTACTGAATTCTGAACATCATCCCCGGGCTGACTATGATCAAGAATGTGTTTTTGCAGTGCAAATATGGCGCAGCAGGGGCTGCAAGTAGTGCCGAAGGGGAGAACCTGCCATTCGTACACAGTGGGTTGCTCCTGGACATTTAGCTCTCTCCAGAGAAAGCGCAAAAGGGGTTTGTCCTCTGGAAGCAGTCTAACTTGGTGAAACATTCCCTTGATATCACTGCTGACCGCAACAGAATGTTCTCTAAATCTGAGGAGAACAGCAAGAAGAGATGGCCCCAACACAGGCCCCGGAAGCAGAAGTTCGTTGAGGTTTTGACCGTGATACTGGAATGAACAGTTGAAAACAATGCGATTTTTGCCATTGTGTTCCACCATATGGTGTGGGATGTACCAGGAGCAGGGGGTGTTTGTCACAGCGTTTGGTGGCACTCTCTTAACATAACCTGATTTTTCCAGTTTTGCAATCTCTGTGATGTAGGCGGCTGCTTGCTGTGGATTTTTAGCCAGTCTCCGTTCAGTGGATCTCAGTTGTGACAAAACAGCCTCCTTTGGTGCCTTGAGTTCAGGCATATTCTTGACACGCAAGAGGGGTGTTGCATATCGTTTCACTCCATCCATCTCAACCCTTATTGTTCTCTTTTCCAGAAGTTCCACAGCCTCCTGGTCCTGTCTGGATCTGATGCAAGCCTTGTCGCTGCGCCATGGCAATACATCCATTTGCCATAATTTCTCTACTTGCTTGTAGAGATCAGATTCTGAGGATGTGACTGAAGTGAAAAGACAATGCTGTTCTGTCACGTCTTTCGGCATGTGTTGGACTGGACCCTGCAAGGTCCAACCAAGACGAGTTTTTATAGCAGCTGGTCCCCCATGTGGCCCTAGCCTGACTGGTTCCACTGGGGTGATCAGGTGGGGATAGTCTGACCCAATGAGCAATACAGGGCAGACGGCTTTGAATTCTTGGAGTGGAAGTCCTTTAAGGTGCCGATATCTCTCCTTCAGACTTTTCACTGGATGTGAGTGTTCTGCCAAACTTAGCTGCTGAGCAGTGAAGGCACTAGTGATGTGAAACCGTTTAGTAGGCTGAGCAATGGGTGAGACGGTAAATGAAACAGCTGCCCCTTTGAGGACTTGCAACTCTTGTCGAATAGTTCGAAGTGGGAGTTCTTCAGGCTGACCAGTTAGGCCAAGTTGTTGAGCTGCACTATGGAGGATTATGGTTCTCTCAGATCCATCATCCTGAATTGCATAGGCATTCATCTTTTTGCTTCCATTACTGAGAATCACCCGGCAGATTTTAAGTAGGACTTTCCTACTAGTTGGTGGTTTATGAACAAGGAGAATCTCCTGCATTGTGTTCAACAGACAAGTCTTTGGGTCTGCAGATTCATCCTGAGTGAGCTTTGGGTTTTCAGGCCTTCCAACACTGATTTCATGCAGTGCCATAAGGTGTCGGCTGCTGCACTGTCTGCAACGCATCTTCAGGTTGCAATCTGCAGATTTATGTGTTCTGCCACAACGCCAGCATCTATTATTTTCTTTGATCCAGCTTTGTTTCTGGTCTTTAGTAAGTTGCTTAAAGTTGCTGCAGTTATTGAGAGAGTGCTTACTGTTGTCGCAATAGGGGCAGTAAGGCTTCAAAGAGCTCCTAGATAATGGAATAGGCGGTATAGGCTCAACCGTTGCTTTCTCCGTGCCCAGATAGATTGTGGTGGGTTTAATGGCTGGTTTATAGTCTCTTAAGTTCTCTCTTGTGCGTGTTTGGAGCATTCTGCGTTGACTGCTCGCAAACCTTGTGGTGTCCTCCTGAACTTGGATTTCGAAATCTAGCCATTCTGCGAAATCTAAGAGGGTAGGGATGGGCACTTGATGTGGATGTGCATATCTCCGAAACCCTGATCTTAAGTCATGTGGAAGCTTCCCAAGGAGCCGAGACACATGAGACCCACACTGCAACTCAAAGGAGCCATTTCTGCCCAACTGCTCCAGCATGCCAACCAGAGAACGAACTTTAAGGGCGAAAAGTCTAAAGGCCTTCTGATCTCCGCTAGCTATATTTGGGCCATCCATTAACTCAGCAATCCGCTGCAGTGCAAGTTGATGCGGCTGTCCATACTGCTGATCTAAGGCAGCCATCGTCCTTGTATAGGGATGTTGTGAATGGCAGTATGAGTCTGCTATTAGCAGAGCCTCCTCTAACTTCAGATGGTCAGTCAGTATCTGAAATTTGAAACTTTCTGTAGCATTGGCTGGGAGTATATTTTCCAGAGCAATTTTTAGCCGTGAGAACTCTCTAGGGCTGGGATGGCTAAAGTCAGGAATCATGGGGGTTGGACCGCGGTATGGTCCTTGTTCAGGTGGAGGTGATGGAGTTTGTGTCCTAAACGGGATCTGTGGATGTCTCACAGGATCTTGCAAGTGCCAATAAGGAGGATTTGAATAATGAGCATTCAGGCTTTGATCTCCTTGAGGCACATAGTGGTATGACAAGTTCCCCCTGAGGGCAGAACTGTGAGGTAGGCTTCTAATCTGGTCCCTTGCTTTATACTCAGACTGATATTTGAGTCGTGGAGCGGGTGTAGGGGTGAAGCTCATGTCGTTAGTGCCCCCCTGTGGCCAGACACGGGGTGCAGGTACAGCATGGGTGGAGGTATACTGCCTTGGAGGGGCAACAGGTGCAGGGGGCTGACTTTCATGTCTTTGCTGCCCCATATGAAACTGTAGCTGTCTCATTTGGTGCTGGAGCTGAGTGAGCTCCTTTGCATATTGTTCATTTGCACGCTGGAATATGTCCCTTTCTTGCTGTATCGTCCACAGACTGTTGTGTAGTTTCGCATTTTCTCTTGCTACGATATCAGAAGCTCCTTCATCATCAGACCACTGTGATGGGCTGTCAGCTTCATGACCGGGTAGGACTGGAGTAAAACCAAATGCTCCATCCTGTGTATCATCGCATTCAGCCAGTCTAGGTGAATGAGTGAGTGGTGACAGGGGCGGTGGAACAGGCTTAGGGAGAGTGAATCCAGTGAGGTCGTACTCATCATAACGTGCGGGGAGGACTGACTTCCTCCTGACGCGCACAGCAGGCTCATCCCCTGAATGTTGTGACATCTTCTATTTCTCTGGTCAGTCCTCGCTCCGGCTCGAAGGACCATGAAAAAATGGTTGGCTTTTAGTAGCTCTGCACCATAGACTTTTTAATTGCCAGTTCTGATTGCTGACCCACCAGAGACTATCCGATTAGAGATGAGGCGAAGATGAACGTTTGTGTGAACAACCCATTTATTGTCACCACTCAACAGACTTGACTTATGACACTTGTGTTGTGGTTTTTCTAAAATAAAAACAATAAAAAGGAATATGAATATAAATAATGATAATCAAACAAATTACAATAGTAAATTATAGTCAACAACACAGCACAAAACATTAAGCTTGATAATAAAGTAATGTGCAAATGATTGTGGGCAAAATGTGACAAGCTGTGACAAGCTGCTACTTCAATATACCCTAGCATGCATTGATGTAACCTGAAACCTTGTTAACAGAGCGCAGATTGTACAGCGCCTCACTCACAAAGGCTATAATGGCGCATGCGCCTCGCAGTTTGTTTAAAACAAAGGATTTGGTTACACTTCAACACTTCAAATAGGAAGATAACACTGGCTAATGAACATAAGTGGAACTCTAATACACACAATATGTAAATATAGATATATAAAAGTGTTACAATATGAATTACGGGGTTATTGACACACCTAATATGTATTAACGCACACACATATACATCGCGGCATCGCGACGTCACGGCCATAATAACTACTCACAGAACAGAACAACTTTCGTCATTTACAGGATTGTAAACTTACTTCTGCATTCACGCACAACACTTGTGGCAACCGCTGACAAACAATGATGAAAACAGTCCGTGATCTATTCCTCGCAAACTTTAGCATCCGTCTATGTGTCTCGCTACACTAGAAACTAAAAATCTGTTTGGGTGGGGAAGATTGCGTAGTCACAGATCCTGGACGCTGATTGGCTCAGGTAACGTGTTCTGGTGTATGCGGGGTGCCTCATCATAAAGGACAAAAGACAGAGGTTAGAATTGCACTTATAAGCTGCAGCCTTCGTGTTTCCCCGAGGGTCCTCGGGGTTATGTTCTCCCTGCCTAGGGCTCAAAGGCCGCCTCGCTGACAGAGCACACGAGCTTTATAGGAATGCATATGCAAATTTTTACAAGGCACGTCACTGTTGTCTCGCTGTCATGGCGAGCGCTGAGGAGGGCTCACCTGATTGGACCACAGAGACTCAGGAATCTGCGTCAGGGCGAGTTGCCGTCTGCTGTGGACAAAAATATATTAAATATATTTAATATATATATTTTTACGTTTTTGGTGCTGTGTAATATTCTGAGATACTTTATACGGTTCCTTTTACAGCATCCATGGTGTAAATTAAGCGTTTCCGGCGAATTGAATGCCAATGCAAAATCCGGTGCGTTTAAGGTCTGTTTTCTTTCAAAATCAGCGATCTCCACAAGCTGAGTGATATCCGATTTAAAGTGGGTCTCAGATTGTACAAGAAGCACTGCATTAAATTACATTTCCCCCGCCATATCCTTATAATATGAGCAATATATTTTACCCCAGTATATTCAATGGAGCTTCTGCGTTAGCCTGCCGATTCTGACGGGCGCGTGCGAGTAAACAGCTTTTTGTCTCGTTTTACGCTTGAGCAACTAAATAAATGCAAAAGTTTATTTAACTGAAGGTATGTTAATGACATTACAACATCGATGCTGTATAAGGAACCGTATAAAATGGGGAAAAAAAGTTCACAATAACAGGTCACCGGAAGTGTATCAGCATGGAAACAGCACTAGCTCGGCATATACCCTATTTAAATAGGAACTTATATACATCTAATATATCTAGAAAACTACAGGAGTATTACATACTAAGCAACAGAATCCTGTGGTGCCACAGAAATGTTTAAGTGATACCACACACTACCACAAGAATACCGCAGGAGTATTACATACTGTACAACACAGAATCCTGTGGTAAAACATCCCAAAAAAAACAACAAAGTACTACACAATCATCACATGGTTTTTGTTTTGTACATTTGATGGTTTACCACATGAAATACCACATGCTACCACAAAAATATTACAGGAATATAACAGTAATACCACACGCTCTACCACAAGAATATCCCAGGAATATTACATATTGTATAACAGAATCCTGTGGTAAATACTACCACAATATGAAAGTGATACACTACCACAAGAATACTACAGGAGTATCACATACTGTACAGCACAGAATCATGTGGTAAAACGTCCCAAAAAACAACAAAGTACTACACAGTTACCACATAACATTTGATGGTTTACCACATAGAATACCGCAGGTAATGTTTGTAATGGAGGGTGTCGGTCATCTTGTTGTTTCAATTGCAAATTTATTCCAGTACACAAACATTTGCACACTGAAAAGTTTTTACAATAAATATGAATACATGTGATGTTACTTTGTAAGAATAGGTATTTCTTAATGAAACGACTTAAATGCAGAACATACTGATTTTACCTTGCACTGAGAAAAAAAAAATGTTTTAGAAAAAAACAGAACAAAAAAGCTAATTCTTGTGATATTGTACTGCAGAAATTGCTGTAGCAATCCTGTGATATTTAGCTGTGTTGGTATTACCACACAAAAACAACAGAGAAACCACATACTTCATCCAATGGTAAATTCCTGTGAAATTTCACTGCAGAAAGTGCTGTAGTAATCCTGTCATATTTAGCTTTGCTCATTTTTTTGTGTGGTAAAGTTATGTTGTACTGCTGAAATACCACAGGATTACCACAGGACATTTTTGTAAATCCGGTCGCACACCAGAAGCGAACTTAAGTCCAACTTTTGTGCTACAGAAAAGCCCAACAGTTTGTAACGACATAAGGGCATGTGCTAGCTAGACAATATTTTAAATGTCATCCTCTAGTATTAATTATCATAAAAATTCACATTTTCAAAAGAACTCCTCGTATTATAGTAAAACAGATAGTGAAGGGTTAACTAGTGAGTCTTTTCGTCATTTTATTTGATTTCTTTTTTATTACTACAGGTTTGGAACAACATGAGGATCAGATTATTTATTATTATTATTATTATTAATTTATTTTTTTTGCTTTGGATGAAGTTTTTATATTTTTATTGTTTTTATTCAATGATATGTGCATGATTGTGATAAATGTAGGCAGTTCCTTTGAAAATATGCTATATGTACCAGGGATGTCAAACTCCTGGAGGGCCGCAGCCCAGCAGAATTTAGTTCCAGCCCTGCTTCAACACACTACCTTTAGATTTAGTTTGATCAGGTGTGTTTAATTAGTATAACTGCAGTGTTACCCTGTAGATTGTGCAGTAAATAACTGTAAAATAGCCAGTGTTTTGCTGTAATAAAAGGAAACAGTATTTTACTGTAAAAGGAGTAGACTTTGTATGAAATTGTGTAGTGCAAAGAATAAATTACAGTAATTTATTTTATGTACTCATTACAACTTTGACAATAAATAGCAAATTACTGTTCAACCATTACCGTCCCATCCACTCTGATGCTTTATGTTGCTAATTATAGAGACGTGCATTTTGAAGGCTGAAAACAATGATTTGGGCATCACCACACACTCCCACAGGCTGTCTGTCTTAAAAAGTTTTCAGAAAATGCTGGCCCTTTAAGGGAGTCAGGTGTTTGATTTGTTTACTGCTGAGTGTGCTTCATTCTCTGTCCATCAATTCAGATGTAGAGTCTGATATGTTTTAGGCTTTAAATAAGAATCTACAATGAGTAAGTAAAATGTGTTCAAATGTTTTTGAGGGTTTCTAAAATAAGGCTGTGTTTTAAGTTATATTGTTGTTATCTTGAACTGTGTACTTGAAAGCTATACATTGTTAGCTAGTTAGCCCCTCCTCGTATAACTTCTTACATTTATTGTATATTGCATACTGCCATAATGTACAGATGTTAACAGTTTTATGTATCTTTCTGGCAACTAAGCCAAAATTAAATTCCATCGCCTCAGTAAGGTAACATGTGCACAGAAATCATCACAGGGAATCACAAAAACATATGATACACTTAACCATCCACACACAAAAGCTCCACTGTCAGCTCCCAGGTTGTGAGTTTGTTGCTAAGTATTTTTCAGAGCTGTGTTTCCACCTATGAATTTATATTAGAAACAATAGAAAAGTTTGTTGTCATGAGATTTTTTAAGTAAATAATAATTATAACAATAAAATATTGGATTCTTTGGTTTTTCGGTGTTGCCGACTTTATTTTTGTTTATATAATTATTTGTAACTTTTTATTGAGAATTGAGTTTTTAATTATTTTAAACTTTAACATTTAAAATAATTAGTTTTTTTTTTGCATAGTCAGCATTGAGGAGAGAGTAACACATTTCACCGCAGCACTTTGTGTGTGTGTGTGTGTGTGCATGTGTGTATAATACCTATACCTGCTGCAGTCAACCTAAAACCTACAGTAGGTTGACATAAAACCAAAACAACACCCATTCTTGTCTTAGGACATTTTATTTGGCAAATTTTAAAATAACAGTAAGTATATGTGACATGTTAAATATATAGTATAATTTGCTGGTTTTAAACATACAGAATAATAATAAATATAGTTATGAAACAACCATAACACCAAATGTTGACTAATGAAAGTACATTTATAACAACTATTTATTTGTTAGACTTCTGTATTGTCAAACCATGTTGCATACAAATGCATTCAACAGACTTATATGACAGTGCATTGCTGTAGAGGACAAATAAAACACGAGACAGGTGTTTAGAAAGAGTATAGTTTATTTAGTTTGACATGCAAACTTATCTAAACAAGACACACTTTCAGAAAACAGCCCGGAAACATTATAATGCGCGCGCTCGTGAATATAACCCGCGGTTGTCTTCAACTGTTGTCTTCAATAGTCCTTCTTTGCTCAACAACTGAGCTGAAAAACAAAGCAAAACATTACAACAGTCAGACATGGAGCAAAGAGCATAGAATTACCAAGAGGCGACACTCTACAATTTGGGAAACAATAACGCGCTTTTTGAATAATATAAATAAATAAAAAGCAGCTGCTTTCCATCGCGACAGCAATGACGAGCGATCGCTATCACTTGAAACTGGCGGAATCCGGGTCTGTTGCTCTTGGTCATTCTAAGCTCTTTGCTAAAGGTTTAATCATAACAGTTACCGTGGTTTCTATTTCAAACTATAGTAAACTAAAGTTTGAAACTATAGTTTAAAATAGAAGATGAGTGGGCCTCGCTACTCCCACCCACCATAACCCTCGCAGCGAGGTCCCACTACCGGCCGCCCGTGTTTCCCCGAGGGTCCTCGGGGGTTATGTTCTCCCTGCCTAGGGCTCAAAGGCCGCCTCGCTGACAGAGCACACGAGCTTTATAGGAATGCATATGCAAATTTTTACAAGGCACGTCACTGTTGTCTCGCTGTCATGGCGAGCGCTGAGGAGGGCTCACCTGATTGGACCACAGAGACTCAGGAATCTGCGTCAGGGCGAGTTGCCGTCTGCTGTGGACAAAAATATATTAAATATATTTAATATATATATTTTTACGTTTTTGAGCTGTGTAATATTCTGAGATACTTTATACGGTTCCTTTTACAGCATCCATGGTGTAAATTAAGCGTTTCCGGCGAATTGAATGCCAATGCAAAATCCGGTGCGTTTAAGGTCTGTTTTCTTTCAAAATCAGCGATCTCCACAAGCTGAGTGATATCCGATTTAAAGTGGGTCTCAGATTGTACAAGAAGCACTGCATTAAATTACATTTCCCCCGCCATATCCTTATAATATGAGCAATATATTTTACCCCAGTATATTCAATGGAGCTTCTGCGTTAGCCTGCCGATTCTGACGGGCGCGTGCGAGTAAACAGCTTTTTGTCTCGTTTTACGCTTGAGCAACTAAATAAATGCAAAAGTTTATTTAACTGAAGGTATGTTAATGACATTACAACATCGATGCTGTATAAGGAACCGTATAAAATGGGAAAAAAAAGTTCACAATA